GGAGGTGGGGGGGTAAGAGGGGGTGTAGGGGTCTAGATTCTTGGCGAGAGAAAGTTTGGAATGTTTGAAGCTGAATATTTTAAGCAATTCGTGTAGTGCTGAATATAATGAGATCGATGTATAGGTACGTAGATAATATATATAATGTATATAGAGATATATGCGACGAGGAGTCGTCGCATATGCGTATGTAGCTTGTTACACCGCGCCGGGCCGGCCAGGTAACGGGGTGTAATGCGGCAGATGCGACACGGGCGACGGTACCGCGCCGTGTAACAAACTATATACCCGTTTTATGCATTCGGTATGTAGATATATATAGATATATATATTTATCGGTCTCTAAGGGATTGCGTATGGGGGGCATATTCGTTCTTGGAGGATCGCGCGTGTTTCCCAGCGCTGCGAGTGACGTCAATGGCCCCGTCAAACACGGACGACCATTTCCAGTTTGCGATTATCGAGTTCCGCTGACTTTACGGCCACGCTCAGAGATCGAAACCGGGATCACTTCCTGTTATTTAGCCGAAAACACGCCGGATTGAGGGTCCTGTTAATTTATAGAGAAATCAAAAGCCGCTGGAAAAATGTCAATACTTCTTCCAATCTCATTGCTTTCTCAATAATTTCTCATGTTATTGGAAAATTAACAGAGTTCTACAGTGATACAGTAAAATCTTAAATTTACAAATAGCCTTAATAAATGGTTTATTCAAGTTGTCAAATGAGCCAGTAGTATAAGTCAATAATGTGTTCAGACATACATTTTAATAATACATCGTTCTTTTAATGCGACATAAAATTGATGTATAAAATTGATATTTGTATGAATCAAGCAATTGGATTTCGTACAAATATTTTCATGTGTAAAAATTTTCGCTATTTTTTTCAACGATTTATTTAACGCGTTTATAGATATGAAAAAAATCGTTAATTGCAGAAAAGAAAGATAGACATAATTTTGCTATATGTGTGCGTGAAATCTTAATGCAAAATCACTATAATTGTGCCGGTTTCGATCGCTGACCGTGCCGCTGTTTCAGGTGACCTGAGGATCAAACTACGCCATGGGGGTGGGCGCTGATCCTCCAAGTGCGAGCACAGCAAGGTGGCAGGCACAGTCGTCACTACTGTACGTCCAAACCCATAGTGAATGGTAAACAGAAAAAGAAAAACGGGTGATCCTCAAATGCACCGAGATCTCTAAAAGGCAGTCGTAGTCAACCTATATGCAGGTAACGGCAAACGTAAGAAGAGAACGTACACGCGCGCGACGCGCACCTAACGCCGTAATCGAGCGTTACTCTTTTTCTTTCTTTTCTTTTGCCGCCGAATTTTACGAGCGAATGATCGTCGGCGACCATCACCCCCTTTCTTTGTTCTTTCATGTGTGAGACTTTTTCTCGATTTATCTTTTCTTTTTTTCTTCTCTCGCCGTCTCTTTTCCGTCGTTCTCGCGCGAACGAGGACGTCGAGGGCCGATCTCGGAGAAATACCAAGACGTGTATGAGAGATCGCGAGAATTTTCAGTCGAAACAATCACAGCAGATTAGTAAACGTTTCGTACGTACTCCGCGCCAGAAAGAAGCATCGTTAATAGTAGAGCGGGATTTTTTTGGGGTTAGACGGACGAGGGTGAAGCGGGAATTCGGTTCGGGTGCGGTCTGATCTTTTCGGTGGGTTTCGATTTCCTCGGATATCGGATAAAGACAGACACAGGGCGTTTTGGTGTCGGGTCATTGGCACATTTTAGACAGGTGATAATAGACGCAGACAAGGGACAAGGAGGGACGGTCCTTCAAGATCCATCATCTTGAACTGTACGGTGCCGATTAGCAATACCTGCCGATCCGTCGACAGAACAGAAAGTGGCATGTACACCTGTTAAATTATTATTCTCGTGTTCGTATCGTATATATATATATATGACAAGAAAAAAGGACGATATAATAAAAAGAACGCAACAGTCGTTCACGCAAGAGGCGCGCAATAAGGTCAGCGTTCGTGTAAAATGCTAGGACGTTCACTATAAGACAAGTTCGACAGGATGGTACATAAAGTGCAAGCCTGGCAAACACAAACAACACAAGACCAGGTTGGTAAGTACACGACTCGCAACATACTATTATGTATATCAGTCATGGCTAACGCATCTAAGGGACAAGAAGACAAGACATAACAGAAAGGGGAGACAACAATCTGACGACATATCACAGATAAACACAGAGACAATTCGTACGGTTGACTTTAATATACGTGAAGAGCTCTTCGCCCATGGACAGGGACTCGGATGATGCGTACAAGTGTATATTCGCAAAGTAAATGACGAAGCAATTTGGACAATTTTAGATACCGCGATCGAAAAGATTGGGAGCGCACAAAATTAGAGAAGTGGAGAATATTATTTCTAACATCTATTCGTTTCTTTTCTAATTAAACTTCACACTGGATCTATTTCCGCAGACTTTCTATAAACGGGAGTGCGCTCCACAAAGAGGATTTTGAAAAAAGTAGGTTACCGAATATTTGTTGTAAACTCGATATCGATGCCGGGAGGATTGTTTCTCGTTCGTATATTTTTTTCGAAAGTCCATGACGTTTTTATTTGCGAACATACATTCGACTATGTTTATAAAAATATGAACGGGAAACCCGACGAGAGATGCGCGCGCGCACGCGGGCGCTACCTCGAGCGGGATATAAACCGTGGCAAAAACCGTCGATGGCTCATCTCTCCTGTACGTATCAACGCGAGCGTGTGGCCATGGGGCGCGAAAGTGAATAAAGACAGATAGGTAGAGACAGGTTGAGATAGAGGTTGAGAGAGCGGACGAAGTAGAGCGGAGGTGGTGTCGGATGAGAAAGATGAAAGAGACAAATAAGCGAATTGTGATCAAACACTGGCAAAACGCAAATGGTCGTATAATGAGAAATGATAACAGGCTGTTATATGGGCGGCGTAGAGGGAAGATAGAAAGAGAGAGAGAGAGAGAGAGAGAGAGAGAAAGTGAAAGAGAAATAGACAGAACGAAACGTAGGAGAGTAATGACAGTAGGCAGGCTAAAAAGGTTCGATATATAAATACATATGTGTTACATATTAATGGGTCATACGAAAGACATGTAAGATGAACGGTACGAGCGAAACGAGCAATAGATGATACTTTGTTCTTTTTTTTTTTTCTTTTGGATAATGAACGATTAGCGAGAGCTTGAGCTGCAACTTACCGCGGTGTAAAGGAACTCCAGAACGTACTACGTGTGGGAAAAACCAACGAGAAGAAAGGGCGTTACCACGGTCACAGAACCCGCGTTTGCGGGCAAAAAACGGATGCACGTGCGCAGCATTGCGCGAGCAATCATCTCGCGAGCAATCGCCCCCCGGATGGCGATCTTTCAATTATTTTTTTTTTTTTTGTCGAACGCGATCGCGTGCGTCACCGACCGCGTGCGCATTAGCTATATCCGCCGATCATCGCGCGATCCGGGACCGGATGGCGCCCCGGCTTTTCCGTCTACGGCTCCGTTCCGGCACCGACTGGACCGGCACGGAGACCCCGCGAGTGCTCCTCGCAATGTTCCGCACGCCATTACAGAAACAATAGACGTAGACACACACTAATCAAGCGTACCCATCACACACGCGATCCTTCCAGTCACGCAACATGAACGCAGTCACTCTCGGACTCATTCAACATAGAGTGGTATACAGTGTGACAGACACAAGTTGGAAACTACGCACACACATATGTATATAATGATATATAGGACCCGGAAACACGAGCGGCGGAATAACCGGCCGTATGTTAATACGCAGCGTCACTTCGGCTGGGATGGTGCTCCATGACGCCGTCCTTGGCGCGGATACCCCGACGGAACGACCGAGGGAAACTCTTATCGGTTCGGTCTAACCGGGGGTCGAAAGGATCGCCCGGGCTGACAACGAGAGGAGATTCCATCGGCGTCGATCTAGGGTCCAGGCTAAGGGACGATCCTCGAATATTGATTACGCTGTCCGAGCAATGCCAGTCTGAATACCTGATTCACGGCGGAGCGCTTGTATTCCCGAGCATCTCTCTTTTCGTTCGGTGCGAATATGTTGAAAGAAAATAAAAATTGTGTTCGCACACAAGCAAGCAAATAAATTGCATGACGAGGTAAACTTAGAAATTTTAAAGACGAAAAAATGAGATATGTTTAAGAATAATTTATCCAAATCAATGAATCTTACTACACATCGACAAAATTTAAGATATCGAATTTAAGATATCTGGTAGAAATGGAATAATATTTTGTTATTTAAATTTAAATAAAATAATCTATAAAAATATTGAATGAAGAAATGAACAATAGCATTATTGAAATTAAAAAAAAAAATAACTGCGCAAATTGGCTGTAAGTATACTCGGAAGAGTAATCAATATTCTAGTATTACGAGACGAAAATGGACAATGGACAAAAACAATACTCTAAATGTTCGATTTCTGAAACTCTTCAACGACAACATGGACCTTATTATACGCACCGTATACAAAGTTTCGTAGAGCAAAAAGAAGGAGACGGTACGAGAAATTTCAAACTTGTGTCTACCATATCTAGAAATACTTTTACGAATGGGCGAGTCACGGCGTTTGTGCTCTTTGACATCGATAAAAGCGTAGACTTTCACAGATAATTGCAAATTCTCGTTAAGAGAGTTTTGATCCGCCCGTCTGACTCAACCATTCGTACGCTTTATCTATGAACTCCTTTCTCGTAATCGCTTAACGAATTGGCCAGATTATTGGTGTCGAAAAGCAATTTTGAAAATGTAAATCTCTGTCCTTCCTTACACATGTTAGTTATATTGCGCGCAGGCCGAGTACTGTTACACTTTATAACGATAACGAACAGTGCCTAGAGTACATTAACGCGTGAGAAATAAATTAACTCATAAGGTAATACAAAAGCAAGTCTCTAGCATATTTATCGTTATGCAGACTTTCGTCGTTCAGTCCGTAAGCAGAACGGAGCCTTTCTTTTTTACGGTCTTCGGCTGTAGGGTGATTGGTAATCTGGTGATGGTAAAGGGCTACACATAGAGGATAAACACTAGACAAAATACACGATTCCCCCGAAGTGCCTGCGCGACTTCTTCCAGCTGAGTCGCATGCATATCGATAATCTCTTCTTCAGTGCCGAACAAAGGAAGAATAACAAAAAAGATTTATCGAAAAATAATTCTTACCTGAGTTAATTTTTTATTAAATTATATTCAATTTGTATAATGTTTCTTAATCTCTTCGTCATATTATATTGCCTGGGATATCATTTCAATGATTTGATGTAAAATGTGATCATATGTTTGTCAATTGTTACATCAAATATACTGAAACTACCTCATGCAAATTCTAGCTATTTAATAATGAATCTTTTTCAGAATAATAACAAATGATATTTTCTTCGACATGATGTTAATGTATAGTATAAATAAATATAGATAAATATTATTGATTGCAAATATAACATGCATTTATTTATTTACCAGCGTATTTGTTAATAATTAATTTCCATTAAAATTATATAATATGAAATTTTATATCTTGCATGCGAGATTAATTAACAAAAAACCTTTGATTGGCAATGATTCCGAAGTGATCATCGATATTGGCATTCGGAGGAGGGAAAGGGGTGAAACACTAGGAAAAGGATGGTTAGGGGGTTGCAGGGTGTCACCCACCGGGGGCTCTCTTGATATTTCAGCTGTCACGGATGTGGATTCATGACGATTCGATCAAATTTTTGTAGCGTTCAATGGCCGCTCACGATGGGGGAAACATCAATTTAACAAATAATTAATCGCAATATTTCTATTTGAAAAATATTTGCGACGTTCGTTAGTAAACACCAATAGTTTCGACGTGTGACACGTTTAGTCGATAAAATGTTTTCATTGTTTTGTTCGTTATATAAAATAAAATCTATAAAATATCCCTACAATTTCTAAACTATTCACAGCCCGCTACTATTTTTTGCGACATTTATTATTACTTTGCTAACTTTTATTTGTTATTATTTTTAACCTGTTATGAAATATAAAAAAAAAACAACATTCAAATCGTTTTATAATGTGAAATTCACTATTTTACGTAGCTTGTGTAGTATTCATTTATAAAATGTATATTGCACAAACATGAAATTTATGTTACGCGTTCATAATAAATTATGATAAAATTGAAAACACGTTATACACGTTTAAAGCTGAAAATATATACATATATTTTGATTAACTTTATCCCGTCCACGTGAAATTATTGATGCGCGTTTGTTATGTATCATATAAACATTACATAAGAGAAAGATATAATAAATAAATATATGCCCCATCGTAAACTGTTACCACAGATTGAAACGCGTAAGTTATATAATTGTATTCATAACTCGATAACCGCGTGCAGCGTGACGCGATATATTATATTTTTGCACATTAAATTCGTCAGTCCTGTAAATTGCAATTTGGACATTAATAACGCTTTTTAGGACGTTCACTGCACATTTCGAAGACAAATTCACGGCGTGCCGTACCAAACAGAACGAAAGTGTTCAACCAAACACGATGATACGCGTATTTCTGGCTAACGATAAAAACGAGAAAAGTAATGCGCGGTCGCATGAAAGTCGTAAAAAGGCCAAACTATGACACGCAGCTATGCTATTTTATTTTCATTAAATGTTGTATGTGGAACGTTTACGATCGACCGAGTCGTTGCCGCGTTTATGTCCCCCTAAAGCGTTAATGTAAAAAAAAACACCGCATGTTGTCATTAAGTGCGGAAAATCTATTGTAAAGTTACGGCAGAAGAATGGCGAGTTCTCGGTCGCTCGAACGTTATTCTCACTTATATTATGAAAGTAAGAGACTAAGCGAATCTAATCCAAATTTTAATCCGTCTGAATGGAAATGATCGATCTTACCTTTCCGTGTACTCGTCCATGTGGGCGTAGCTCTGTACGCTGTTCTCCTCGACGAGAAACTTCACCCGCTGATAAAAGGACGCCGTGACGCTCGGAGGTTGTTTTCGCAGAAGAACGTCCACGGGATTATTACTAGCAAGGCACATGATATGCTCTGAACAAGCATGATGCGAGCAGCACTCGCTGTCAGAACAGTCACTCATGCCATCTAAGAAAGGTAGTTTGTTAGATATCTGCTCAAATACGTCTCGCTTTAGCTAAATTCTAATTTTTTTGTTTTAATAAATTCTATTTTTCTACTTCTACAACTTAAGAAAAAATTCATGGTGAGAATAATAAACAAGTTTAGTGTTTATTCCATATTTTGATGTTATATGCGTTTATTGCATATTTTAATGCGTTTATATTTTCTTGTGCTAGTAATACGAGTATTATTTCAATAAATCTTTTGCTCACATATTTAGCAAGAGCAATATCTGTTTGGCGTAACGATTATTAATCAGCGATGACTTTAAGATTTAGCAATGATTAATATTACTTAAAAATTTACCTTCGTCATTATCACGGTAATCATCACATTCTAATTCAAGCCGTATGCTGCAATCCCTACCGGCCCAACCAGTCGAGCATTCACAACTGTATTCACCGTCCTGCAACGTGCAGAGTCCGTGGCGACTGCATCCATTTTCGCATCCGGCTATTTAAATAAAAAGGAAAGTAGATATTATTGAATCAATATTATTGAAAAATATTTGTTTCATATCGGAAAATTTATTATCAATGGCAAAATATATCTTCAAACGGAATAACGCACTTGTTCAAAATATAATTTGTTATTTTACGTACGTAATGTGCAGTGCCTTCCGTTCCATCCTTGACTGCACACACAGGTTCCGTTCTTGCATTGACCATGCTCGGCACAGCGTGCATCGCACGGTTTTTGATCGCATTTCGTTCCGGTCCAATCGTCGTGGCATCTGCAAGTAAGTATGCCTCATATCTTACCGATCGCATGCTATGAATGTCAATAGCTACATTTTCATTTAATAACGGAAAAGGGCGAGGAACAACTGTCGTTCGGAGTGACTATTGACGCCGAGAAACACGGTCTTGTCATATTAATCGCCCGGCGATCTGTAAAATTACGCGAATGTTTCTAACAAGATTTGCTAAGCGTATTGCCGAACGTAAAATCGCTTCTCGCCGTTTATACCGGCCACAATAAAAAATGCGAGTTTGAACTCAGTTCCGAAGTTGTTCTGCCGCCGTACGGAACTTTTTGCACTTAGAGCCTCTTTTACGCCAGCTCCCGGGGATGGAACAGGCGGGGTGGACGAGAGGCGTCAGCTTTAGAATATGAGAAAGGAGATCCTCTCCCGCGTCCTTGATTCTGACAAAGGAAAGTAGAAAGGGACGAGGACGGTCCTTCGAGTTGTGATAAGTTGGCACCTCGTAAGACAGAGCCTTTTTCTCGCAATTTTTCACCTTTTTAGCCTCAACTTTTGTGTCTGCGATCCCGGTGAGCAATTTACTCATTTTTAGGCCATTCTTCGCCAACACCTATCCCACAATATTTCAACGTCCCGACAAAGCGTTACTCTTTCTCTCTCTCTCTCTCTCTCTTACGAGTCGCGCGAACGGATTACTATTAAACGCTCGCGACATACTTCCCATGTGCATTCGTCATTGAAAACTTTACGACATTTCAGTCTTACGATACGATATTAACCGGTAAATTATTCCAGCTGTAAAAGTTACGAAAAGCTCGTGCTCTTTTACTCTATAAAGCACGGAGTCGCGCGTAAATGGTCGCCACGTTCAAACAATTCCGCAAATCTCCCGTATTAAACAATGATCCCACGCGAGGTGCGGGCATCGCATGGGAAAGAGAACGAATCGAGGTCGCGTGGAATTCCTTTAATCCGAGAAAAACGACCGGGGCGTTGAGACACGCGTCACTTTCCTCGTTCAATCCCGGAGAGCGAGTGTTAGCTCTGCGCACGGCTAACCCAATTCCGGAATCCCGGTCGCAATGCTCACGGAGGACCCATAAAGGGCGCTAATATATATATAAAGGACAACGTGTATATGTGTGTATGCGCGCGTGTGTGTGTGTATATACTGACTTGCAACGGCCCCGCTCACAGGATCCGTGAGGTCCGCAGTCCAGGCCGCAACTCGGCTGTGAGCAATCGACCCCGGTCCAGTGCTCCTCGCAAACGCAGGCCGCAGATTCGAGGTCGTATGTCCCGTGATCGGAGCAGCCCGGCAAGCACTGGTACACCTGCTGGTCGACCTGATTGCACCGCTCGCCCTGCCAGCCGGCCTTGCAGTAACACTTGCCGGAGACACAGGCGCCGTGACCGCTGCAGTTAGGATCGGAACAGTCGGCTGAAAGTTGAAAGGGCGAAATTGAGTGCGCGATTAAGATCGTCGCGTTTTTACGGTTCGGCGCGGTTTGGAGTTTCCCCCGGAAAGGCTAAAACTTCCCGCTTGAGAACGCATCCACCCGGGGCATACTCCGTTCAGTTATCAGAGCCCTCTCCCGCTCTCTGCCCGTCACGCCCGGGCGCCGCTGATTGCGTCCATGGCATGGACGAATGGACCAACTTTTTAAATTATGGCATCGGAACAATTGCATTATTCCCGTGGATCCCACCTGCCCCGGGGAAATTATGAAACTTAATTCCAGAGCGCGTCCTCGGCGCGGTGGCGGCGGCGCCGTCGCGAGCCGCGTCCGCGCCGCGTTATACGCGGGGGCGCGAGAGATGAAGGAAATTCCTAGTGGATTCTTCTTGCATTATGCATGCGCGACGTTGATCGAATGAGATCATAGATTTGTTCGTTTTCATTAGAACTTGACAGGTGCGTTCGCGGGTCGGCCTCGTCACGGGAAACGCAGGGAAATTGAAGTGTGATACTATTAAACGTATTTAATTGATAGATGTAGAACGTTTCTCTATTTATAAAATACACGATATTTTTAGTAAAAAAAAAAGAAAATAATATAATTCTGTTTAATAAAAATAATATCGAAATATTGATTTTTATATCAGAATATAACAAACGCTTTTAACACATTAAAGTTGATTAATAAGCAACAAGAATAAATGGATTAAAAACTGAATGTAGAAATAAGGCACGAAGCGTCGCAATAAAATGTAACGACTGTCCTGTTTTAAGTGAAATCTTTGAAAGATGTAGCTCAGTCTTTCGATTGGAAGATTCGACGATTCTTAGGAACTCCGCCAGTTAGTCCTCATTTGCCATCTCGTCGCGACTGATGCAAATTCGTTCTACTCCTCGAATTTATCGTTCCTACGATTGGAGCTGACATATTCCACTGACGTGGAACTAATATCGTTTTCGTCTGCGTTTAGGAAAAAGCGACGGCCGAGCGTATCTCTAACGAGGACCGTGAGAATGTCAGAGACGAAGCGTCTCGTTCCCGGCGAATAATCTCGTCATTTATATCGTATGTCATTCAGCCCGGGGAGTTCCGAGAGTGCGAAATTATAACGTTATCGAACACAGCTGCGTGCCGCACGCAGCGCGCGCACGCCGCGTGTATTATTCAAATTTCCACGGAACAATATGAAACTAATTGTCGCGCCGAATTGGCACGGCTTGACCCATATGTAAATTTGGAGAACTCCGCGTGCATTAATTATAGGTTGTACACAGTCCAGCTATGTTCTCTACCGGCGGGGACACTGCATCGCTAATATCTTGAATCTCCCTGGATGGAGGGTCAGGACGTACGCTTAAATTATGGGAAAATTAATGGTGCTGTGACAAACATGAAGAAATAACGCCGCGAGGCAGAAATAGATGTTCGAGGTAAACGTTCCCGCTGGCAACTTCCGCTAAGCCGTTTTTAAAGCTGAAATATGCATCGTGACGTTACGCGCGTTTTCAGTGCAACGCTCGCGGACCGCGTTCGGAAATAATATTTTCAAATCTCGATGAATTAAAATCTACTGCTATTTTTATATTTTTTTTATTTTTCTTTTTTGTTTGTATAAGAAATATGTAGCAAATTCGAAACAATGTAATTGAATTCTTTTAAATTTCTTTACTTTTTATACACATTTCGTTATTAACTTTTTTTTTTTTTTTTTTTTTTTTTTAAATTTTATGAGTGTTGTTAACTTACGTTCGTCGCAAAAAATGCCTTTCCAGCCGGGATTGCAGACACAGGATCCTCTAACGCACTGACCATGTTGATTGCAATCAGGAACTTGGCAGTCACCTAACGGTATGTCACACTCAGCGCCTTTCCAACCTTCTTCGCAGTGGCACATACCACCGCCGTATTGTCCATGAGAAGAGCATAAAACTGGGCACACGCTTTTGCTGCAATCAGCACCCTGCAAAATTTCACATTTTCTAGTTTCTAGTTTCAATAACGCATAATTATACAACACACTTACAGCATAATACAATTAATACAATTCTTATTTTGCAAGAACATACCTGATATCCATCTATGCAGTCGCACTTGCCAAGATAGCACGATCCTCGTCCGGAACAGTCATTTGGACACGTGGTGGACACACCTTCAGCTTCCGTTATGACCAAGGTGACCTTGTGAGGCTGCAGCTCGTCATTATATACGGACAGGAACCAGTCGCCGGTGTCAAAGTACTGCAGCAGACTAACGTTAACCGTGTTGAGTGGCTCTATAATGGTCCTCTTTACGAGTACATGCTGATAGGATATGACCGGTTGCATCGCACGCTCTATGTGAATGTCCTGTGAGCTGCCGGATTTCATAAAACTGACCGCTTCCGCGGTAACGTCCCTCTTCAATCTGTGGACTATCCTGCCACCCTTCACGAACTCTACGAAATCGTATTGCGTGACGCTGGGCGCGACGTTTCGCCTGCCATACACGGCGAAATTCGCACCCCATGGCAGAGTCAGATTCAGCCTGAGGAACGCCTGCTGCTTGTTGCGGAACTCGGTGTTCCAGAAGGTGTACGGCTGAATGACGGAGGAGTGCGCGACATTGTAGGCCTGTAGCTCCAGCACAGCCGGCCATTGCTGTGCAGACTGCTGAGTCTGCTGCGGATCGCTTTGCTGATCGTTGGCGCTGTCAGCGGCGCTCGAATGCTCCGCCGTACTCGTCGGCAAGGATTCTATAAAAAGAAAGAAAGTGCAAAGATGTAAAATACTGAATAGCATGCAATGATATACATTTGAAATAATTGCGAAAGTCAATTGAGAAAAGTTTGTGAAATTGTATCATAAAAAATCTAATTGTTTTATCACAGTAGCTTTTTTATGTGATTTTATGTGATTTAAGGGAAAAGAAGTACAAAACTCTTTACTTTTTTGTTTCGTACCACCTACATCATGATTACTTGTGCATCGTGCAATGATATACATGGAAACGTTAATCCTTTCGATTCGGAATACGTAAATATAAGTACTGTACGAAAACCGATAGCTATATTGAAGCAAATCGTACATGTAACACATATTTCGTCTAAAAAAGCGTTGTGTCGAGACATACATAACGTTTTATAACCTATAAATTTGGCCGATGATTGTTTCACCTGTTTAAATTATTGCTACATTTATCGAAAGGCTTAATTTTATCTTTATAATTAATCAATAATATTTCGCAAATTAGTTGTTCGAAATAAACAAGCTGGCGCTCACCAAAAATGTAAGAATCTCAATTCCTTTTCAAATGACGCTTCTTTCAATTCGCTGTTTTTCTACAGGAAGAAATTAATGGTAATGTCGTTTACAACCGTATCGATTACACCCCGAGTGATCCCGATCTAACAATAAGATGGAGCTAGTCGATGCGGCACAGTCACATGATCGTTCGGCCTTGGTACCATTAGACGGCCTTGGTACCGTTAGTTTAAATGGCCATACTACACGTGGTAATTTAAATGACCAGCTGATACCGCTAGTCACACATACGCACGTACACATACGCGCGCGCAATGGATTTTTAAAACGCTATAACTTGGCAAAAAATTGACGTAGCGACATGCGACAAAAAAGGATTTTCTCTGTTTCGCGTCGCGCACACGTTTATGCTCAGAATATATGCTCTTATCATGACATGTATATATGTATAAGTTGCATATAAAACGGTAAATTATGAAAAAAGAATATTATTATATGACAATGTTATAGAATACTTGTTTAATAAATAACATTTATATTTAGCTCGCGTTAAATTATTTTATCCATTAAAAGAAATAATAAGTTCAATGATTTATTGACTGCATAGCGGATATGTAAATGTATTAAACATAACAATAACAAACTGGAGAACAACAAGCTCCAGAGCAACGCGGTAATTCTTGTTCGCACTCCGAAAAATGCGGTTACTTTATCTCAAATACGCTGAATATGCTACGTTCTACGTACAATTTAATTGCTCAATTATCCTCTCGAATTGAAATGGCTAGTAAAATCTTTATAGCGAACGGCAATTAGATGCAGGCGACGATATAGTTTTTTAGTAAAAGCATGATATCGATGGCACGTTCATCCACTCACGCTTCCCAAGAGCAATTACTATGTGACGCTGTACGCGCGAGAGTATTTACATCATGCAGAGTGGATGCAAATTAATACCGCTTGATATTTACCTTCTGTGGGAATCTGCGTGGATATCGAATCGTGAATGTGTGCGTTTTCGTGAGTGACAGCCTTGATATCTTGAACCAGGATGCAGTTAGTACTGTCTATCGGGCGCATAGAGCTCACTGCTGAAAGTAAACAGAGTGTTTATTTAAAAATGAGTCTTATTTTCACTATTCCGACGCAATATGAAATCTTTTATGCATAATATTTACATTTATAAAATTAGATGTTTATATAGTTAGATAACAAAAATATTTATTATTAATCATTGCCATTACTATTATATCGTATTATTATTACTATTTGAAAATTCAACATTGTTAATATTCAAAGTGATTGTAATAATATTGGATATAGATAATTGAAAATGCATATTTATACGTTCCATTCAAAACACGATATGCGACCTCGCCTTCGAAAGCTTCTTTCGACAATTATGCGAACTTACATTACGCGCAGATAGCGCTCGTATATTTTAATAACTTTGAAGGAGAAAGGAAAAAAATCTATGTATGAAAGCCTTATATACAATTGCGTAGATAAATGTTATATGTGTAATATACGACCGGTATTCCAGGCAAAATAGCATCGCCATGCGACGCTTTTATAGCGTCAGGAATCAGGAACGGCTTTAGTCGAACGTCTGGGCGCAGCCTAATGGGTTCATAAATTCGAACAATCGCTTTCGAATTACGATGGCACACTAGATTTTCCATGACAATCCGACTTTTTTGCTCGAGTAACTTTTAAAGCGAGGTATTCAAGATATAAGACGTAATAAAGTCGGAGGTCTTACCCTCTCACGATTTGAACTACGAGTTGTATCGCGTATATGATATTGCCTTATCAGATCAAGAGTTTTGGATCAGCGCGCGTTACAGCGCCTTATTTGCTCGATATGCGATACGTCTTCTTTATACGCTCCAAGAAAATGTCGTGAATGTCCGACTTAATTCTTATTGCATTCAATTATCATAACGGACTATTTCGAGAAATACAGCGGAGGTATTTAATCCTAAGCAATATAATTTGAGATCCAATTAAGTTGATGCGCTATATTGGCAGTTATTTCGAGTTTCAGGCATTAATTTATATTAATGTTTTCTGAGCGATAAGTACAAGTTCGTTGAATTTAAACGCCATGATAAATTTGGCAATAAAACCCTTATCCGCGGCAGGATATTGCGGTTTAATTAATTATCTGTCTCGTGCGCCGCGAGCGCCACGAATTAATTACGCGGTTTAACGAGAGTTTTTAAAAAGAGGCAGAAGCCCCGGCAATGCAACCCCCGCCTAACGACCTCTTGGCTTATCAACGCAACAAAACATCGATAACGCATAATTGAATTTGCGTGTTATTGCCGCGCGGGTGATTTGACAAATCGCGATTCGCCGATATACTCGGGCGCCGATATTTAATGGACGCATTTTCACCCTCCCGCGATTTATTGTATCGTGAATTGTATAAGCTTTCTGTCGTGATAATGGCACTCATTATCGCACACGTTCGTGCGCTATTTCTAGTGGAATTGCCGTTGTCGTGTATTGTTATTATAATATATTATCCCTCTGCAGCTTCTTCACAAACATACCGCGGGTAAATATCCTGTCGCATGAAATCAAAATCATATATGAGACATCAACAATATTTAGCTTTTACATAAAAGGAATCGAGCGTCAGTCGACAATTTTAATTTCAACAAATGCAAATTGATATTTAATCCCACGAATAGCCTCTGTAATCATGTCAAAATTGTCTCTCGTAGAAAATTCTCCCCTCTATAGCTGATAGTCCTTGACAAGTTTCTTCGAGATAAGGAAGCTGCACGGTACGTCGGGTGAGGAATATAGGAGCGCGTATACACGTAAAAGTTTTCGCACACAGAAACGCGTTTTAACGCGTACCGATACGAGCGACCGTGTACAGATATACACATACGTACGCACGTCAGCTCGGAGATAGGCGAAATGACCGGAAAAGAGCGACTATTCCTTCGGGATCGACGTTGCCTGGCCGCCATGTAACTATCGCTGAAATTGAGTTGCAGTGAACTGTGAATGACCTTATTTCGCGTATACGCCAGTCAGCGTGGCATCGTTTTCGTTCTCGCTTCACGTCGTCGCAGCTCAGCAATCCAACTTCCACATATCATATGTACCTATATACTCGGTGTCGCAGAAGTCGCGCACTCGCTTTGGAACATCCAATAATCAAAATAAAGAAAAAAGAAAAATATTTTATACCAAAGATAAAAAGATTTCATGTCAAAACAATATGATACATCTCGCTTTTCTAATGAAGTTTAAACATAAACTTTACTTTGATATTGTAATACTGTAGCTGTTTGCTTCTCAAATATTTAACACTAAAAATTGGGAACCTTAAATTTTATATTAGACGAGACTGTAGTTTGTGTGAAACTTCTAATTTAATTTGCCGGCAGAGTTGCGTATTTTTTTAACATCCTGTACATTTATTTACAAGGACAATACCGCGAAACAAAGTCATCTTAAAATCCAATCCCAATCCAATATATAAAGAGGAACCGTCAGGTTTCGATGATGAGCTACCGGAAATTTAAAATGGCTGTAATGCGAGCTACGGAAGGGGTCGTTGCTCCGCCGCCTATCCCTTTGCCTTTTACGGGGGATGGAAAAGGCGAGCGCGACTGTGAAGGACAGCGGGCACGTTCACGGGGCGCGCAAAGGAACAACTTTTTCAATTATATACCCCCGGATCGATAGAGCGATTCATTCCCGAGAATGATTCCCGGATTATCGTAGGATTATCCCGCCGCCACCCCGGCCGGTCCGTTCCGCCGCCCACTTCCGCTCGTACGTTATAATGAAATGTTTACAATCGATCCGTCTACCCTTTCGTTCCGATCCGCCGAAGCGTGAGTCCAGACACGACAGCGTTATCGAGCCGTCTACAATGTCGCTATTATTGACGAGTTAACTACTAATGGCGCAGTAACAATGTTTCTTTTCGCAGTAGGAAACAAACGGATGGATTGAAGCATGTTTTTTAATAACGGACACTCGATTAAACACGGAGAAATTATTACTTCAATGTCGAGATGCCAACGCTGCAGTTTTTCATTAATGAGCTTTAACAAATATTATGTTCCGAACATTATTCTGAAAATTAAATGTCAGAAATGACCGAAGGATGACATTCAAAAATTTCGAATGTGTTAAAAAAAATGGATAAACTGTTTCCGAATTTTTCTTTCAGCTCTAGGCTCGCTTATCGCGAGCGATTGCCGCGAGAGCGGTTCGTTGTTATAAATAAGAGCGGGAAAGGGATCCGAGAGTAAGAAGTGAGCTGTCGTGAAACGATTCTAGCCCTGTGAGAGCCGGGAGCGAGCGAGCAGGCATACGTCAAATCGCTGAAAAGCAAGGCAACTCGTGTGCACGCAAAATCTGTGTGTTTCGAAGCGAAGCGGAAAGATGAAACGAAAAGGAAGGGTTCGCGTAGGATCGCTATGTGTACGCGCGCGCTCACTTGTGTGCAGAGGAGTAGAGACAGACCTGTAGCGACCGTAAAAGACGCGGGGAGGATAACGCGAGACCGGCTGTGGGGTAGTTCGGATGCAATAGCAAACAGGCAGATTGGATTCCAGACTCGATTTACTGGAATGCAGAAATAACAGCTGGCGAGCGGCCTCCTCGAGGCCGATAGAACCGACTTTGCAATCCTTTCCCCCCCTCTCCCCCCCCCACAGGTCTCTTACTCTTCTCGCGACACGCAGGAACGGGAGAAGGAAGAAGAATATGGACGCCCGAGTCGGCGGGGCAGTTCCGTGAGGGAGCGCGGGATGGATCCGGGGGGCAGGCGGGTGCGGGAGGGTGTTATATAGATTCGCGGGACACAATGCAGCCCCGGCCACTCGTATTCTTCCCTTCGTCCGGCAAATCCCCTTTAGTCCCGGTGACTCCGGATGATAAAGTCTAATACGCTCGCGAGACAGACCTTGACCGTCGTTTCGGTTTGCTCGGATCTTCGAATCTCTCGCGGAATGCAAAAAAAGCACTCTCCTCGAAGATTCGGCTAGCGGTGGAAAGGGAGGGGTGGAGGGGGGGGGCGAGAAGGGAAGGAGATAGGTTCCTTTCTGTTGCGCGCTGATAACAGGCGGGCATTAATTCCCCTAATCGGACCCGGCGCCGTAGAGATGCAGCGATCTTCAACCCCGTTTGCGCGTATCTTCAGCCTCGCACCTCGTTGACCCCCCGCATTAGCATAACAGACCGAAGCGACAGAGCAAAGCCATTTTCCGAGTCCTTTTTGCAACAATATGCCCAACGTGTCGCGCCGATGTGTTTTCTTTTTTTTTTCTTTCTTTTCTTTATATTCACGGCTGATCTTAACAACGCAAATCAACGAGAACGATTTATCCCTGTCGAGAGTCCGTTAATGGAGCAACGGCTAGAGTATCGTCGTTTAGCTTCAGTAAGATTTCATGTCTACATACATCGCGGGGGTTTCGCTGTTGATTATTTATGTAACAAAGTTTGCCAATGTTAGCCATCGGGTGTACCGGCGTAGTGCGCCGTTAGTTGCACAGCTATCGATTTGTGCGTCAGGTAGGCCATTGCCCTGCGAAATGCCCGATTCGTTTAGCAAAGACAAACAGCTCTAATTTCTGATCATTCGCTTTTCAGCGAACAGAATCAAATCCGGCAAAATTTCACATTAATAACACTTGAGATGTTAAATATATGCGACCATTATTGCCGAAATGAATGTCCCTCTTTGTTTTCCGCGGCATCCCGTTGCCAGACGAATTATTATTTGGATGGGAAGGCGTGCCTATCGATTCGTACTCAAGTGCGTTCATCCTTCCTTCCCGTCCCTTTGACGCGTTACGGCAGTTCTCAGCTACGAGCATTATGAGTGAAACGCACCCCGTGCCATTGAAACGCTTCCTCGCTATCGGCGGGCAATATTTTTGCCTCTCCCCAACCGGATGGAGGCAACCGCTCCGTGCTAAATGAACCATTACGCTAGGCAGCGACGCTACGCCGTACCTACGCTTCCTACGGAAGATCCGGACTTCCGCCGTTAAACAGTATTTAATTTTTCCGAAGGCGACGTATCGTTCCACCCGATTGCGTTTCCCGTAGAATGTGCGGATTCCGTTCTCCCCGGATGTGGTAATAATAATTAGTGTTGAAATTTTTTCGAAGCTAATGTACCGCCTATTTCACGATTCATCGCCGATTGCGTTTTGCGCTAAGCAAAAATGCGTGGATTCTATTCTGTAGATGTGATAATAATTATCTAATAAAATGTAAATTGATTTTATTAAATGCGGAAGCAGAATACGTTCGTAGAAAAATTTATTTACGTATATTTTTTCATTATACAAAGATTCTTCTTTGATATGCTCACAGCTGAAACATCGTGGAAATAATTCTTTCAGTGCAGTTATTCCGCAGGTCTATAACGGCCCAGCAACATCCCTTTGTAACAAACGTTCAGCGTAGCGCAAAATAAAATGGGCTCGCGTGTTTTATAATCCAAAAGTGCTTCTGTCGCAAAGAAACGTAGCATTTAAATGTCAACCATAAAATAATGCTGGCGCAGCAATTTTATATGTACTGTTATTGCTAGAAAAATATCAATGTATCGTATGTACACGGCGCGTTTTGTGAATGCACATAGCATAGCATATACATACAATGCAAAATATTTCAGACAGTTTATTCTCCCTCGAAATTAATTGACCCTTTTGTATCTCTTTTTGTTAATTTCGTGCTTTGTTCACTTGGCTATTTTTTGTTCATTAAATTTTAAATATGCCACCTAAACTGTATGTTTGCATATAACAATTTTTATTTCGACATATCAAAGCTGCTTTCACGAACATTTCGTTTACTACTTACTTTGTTCTTTTTTTTTATAAATGCAGCAAAAATATGAATCGCGCCTACTGATATTTGCGAGTCTCATTTAGTTATAATTTGCATGTTAGCGCGAAATTCGTCATGCCTTCACGCGGAATGTTATGGTGTCAGTTATATGTATAATCCCCCTCTGCGTATAGGGATTAGCATGGTGCAGTAATGCCGACGTTCCGATGGATTTTAGCATTAGGTGGGTTGGGTTAGTCGTAACCAGATTTGCAAGTTAATAATGAATTATTGTACCGTGAATTTCGGGTCAGCCAGAAATAGAATTGCGTGGACTATCCGGCGGTGTGTGTTACGACTCGGACGTGCGCTGTGGGACTAATAAAAACGGCTCATTCAAATTTGCACCGGAGCAAATATTATTTATGAAATGGCAGCATTAAATAGTCCTCCGCCGTCGTATATTACAAATACAAATTTGACTATATCTTTAGACGGTTTACACCTGATCTCGCGTTAATTTCATCAAATATTTAATGTTTGTTCAAAATTATATTCACTTTGTGGCCCTTTAATTTAATTTCATTTCACTTAATTATCATATATACACAGAGATGTAAACGGAATTATGCATGACGATCGAGCTTTCGGCTGGATTTTATTCTCAGCGGCGCATTAACGTGACAATAATGTTTACTTACCAGCGAAGTATGCCAGCATCGCCGTTAGCGCCACGGCCACGAGGATCAAGGCGATCGAGAAGCATTTCCAGGAGCACCTGTGCTGACAACGTTTATCGATGTGAAAGCGCGACGGCGAATACGGGGAGTAGTGCGGCACGGCTGCGGCGCGAAGTGGAAAACCCGGCATCACCATGGCTTGGCCCTGTGCGCCTACCGTGGCGGTACCGCCATTTCCGGCGCCGCCTAAACCGCCGCCCAGAGAACCCACCGTCACTTGCTGTTGCGGTGGCGGAAGCCTGAAACAATCAGAAATAATCGATGTTAGGGTACTGCCTGAGATGTAGCGGTGGAAGTTACGTTACAAAGTCGCACGATTACGCGTCATGTAAACGTATGTGTATGCGCGAGAGTATATGTGTGTGTGTGTGTGTGTGTGCCTAAAATCATATTACTCAAGAGTTTCCTCTCGACGATTCGGTCGACGCATTAATAACTGCGAATCGTATGCTTAGCTGCGATGACAAATTGTGCGTGCGATTGCGAGCGACTGCGAATCCAAACGGAGTCGACATCGATTAGTATTTCCCATGTATCTCGCTTACCGCTGATTATTAGTTAAATTCATGCCGATAGTCATCGGCGTATCAGAGTGTCAGGTAATAAATGGGCGGGTTGACTGCACGTACTCCGAGCGATCGCTTGATCCGCTCCGTAGGCGATACGTACCGGCGATAAATCGACGACCGGTATCTGTTTTGTGCACGTGTGCCAGCAGAGGCGACAGACGCGGCGGTCGCCGAGGTACATGAACCGGAGAGCATCGACGATGTACGTCCGGGGATGCAGATAACGCCAGCTTATAAAAGATGCAGATGCCGCCATTAAGCGCGATACGGAGGAGGCCGCGTGTGCGTGCGATCGCCGCGTATCGGTGTACGAAAACCCGCGGGCTTTCGGAAAATGACGTACGCAGGGGTGACAAGGTTAAGGCCCTGTCCCGTCGGACCCGTGTCAAGGATTTTATTTTCATCATCGACGGCATTTATCTTCGTCCCTCCATCGAGAGGCCGGGATAAGCGTCGGTCGGGACCGGTCGGATGAAAGGGCAACGTCGAAACAGGGATTTAATATGGTGCCCGGAATAAATATAGTTTTCCGATAATCATGCGGACTCATGAATAGCATTATGTACGCGCCATAATGTACGGCTCGCTCTCCGCCGCGACTGAAATCCCGTAAGAATAACTCGATTGACAGTACGTCTGGTAGGGGCAAGAGAAGGGCGAAAAAGGGGAGCACTAAAGCCACCAGAAAAAGGAAACAAGCGGAAACTTAACAATGCACCGCGGCGCCAATATTGGATTTTTCTCTTAAAAATTCACGTTGTATAAAACCCGAGCGCGGTGTTCGGCTGGCCAAATCGAATAGTTACGAAATCTTTTTCAAATTGGTTTTACACGGCTTCGATAAGGAATCAGGGAAGTCAGCAGATTGTCGGACTTAATCCCGGACTTGATCGTCTTAAAATAACTGATCGTCTTAAATTTTGCTTTTACGAGATATAAGTAAAATCATTTAAAATGGTTTAAAGAAAAGTATGTATTTTGAGAAGATAATCATCAAGCATATTTTTGTTTTTAATAACGTTTAAACAATCCAGAAATAAATTTTCTCCTCTTATCTGGCAGAATCAGAACCGACTCGTTAAAAATATTTATTTATATTACAACTTCAACAAAAATATGAGAATTTTTTCAACTGTATACGATAAATTTCGTTTTTAAAAAAATATTTAATCCAGGCGTTCTTTTATAGTTTGCATTGTGTTATTACTACAGAAAAATAGTCACATCGCATAAAAATGTTGAATCTCACAAAAGAAAATTTTAGATATAAGTTAAGAGAGATATTTTGCACACAGAATTTTAGAGACGAGCGTCATCTTTTCCTTTGAAGGAATCGTTGAGATGTGTCGTGTGCCTCGCGCAATTTATAAGTTGCTTAACAAACTCAATCCGACAAATACCATAAATAATCGCGCTTAGACCCCGGCGCTTCGTGATCCTATAAACGTCCGCTCATATTTTCCGGAGCAGGAAGCAATCAGACACGACGTGAAAAAATATCACTGGCAGAAGTCCCAACGTTTCTTACAAGGCAGCGCAAGAAAAAAAAGAAGATACGCGAGAGACGGAATCCCGCGCAATAAATATTACTTTTTCCTCGGGATCATTAACTTAGGAACACAGCCCGCAGCGTAAAATTAATTTACTAAAAGTATCGGCGTGCTCGGCGTCCGACAAAAATTGTAAAGGAAAAAGCTTAATGGCAAAATAATGGGGATTTTTTTAAAGACTGGAGGATAGCCAAGGATAGTCTTATTTGATCTCTGAATCATCCGGCAGAAGATCAGCGAACACATTTCAAAAATAATTCAATTACCGTCAAAAGAGTATGATTTAATAAAGATATATAGCTGCAAAATATAACATAGAATGTTCCAAAATCCTTTTATCTGCGTGCTCATCGATTGATTTAGAAAGAAATTTTTGAGAAATTTGATATTAACGCGAAATCAATATTTATACATAAAATATAATATGTTTTTGCATTGTTAATATTAATAATTTGCCGAAGTTTACATATTTTCCACTGTATTATCGATTACCGGATCAAATTAGTTTGTCAACATTGTTTTTCTCTCGTTATGCATCAATTAACACTCGCGATTAATTTACGATGCTTCGCGATTACTTCCGCATTGCCTGACTTCCTGAATTGGAGTTGTGAAAGTTTTTCCTGGGAAATAAATAAATCTAGCTCCCTGGCTCCACTAAGAGCCTCCGGACAGATGTACGGCGCTCCGGCCGGGACAACCGGATTCTTGATTGCACGTAACAGACAAATGAAGCGAGGGGAGTGGCTGAAAACAAGATGAACGAGGGAAAAGGAAAGACAGCAAAGCCGGGGATGCGCTGCGAAAGAACGGAGTAAGCAGCAATTCGGCGTGTTCACGCCGCGGCCCCTCTCTCTAAACCGGATTAATCCATTTGTGCGAGTAAATCGGTTAGCTGGAATTGGGTTATATTTCCTAATCGATACGATGGATTAAGTTACCGGTCGGTTCGTCTTATAGCGCATTCGTCATGACTGTGTGTGCTGCATGTGCTCTTTCTTCGCTTAATTATCGCGAGGAGAACCGTGAGACAAATTCGGACGAAGCTTTCGGCAAGATTGCGGCATTACCGCAACTGTATCAGATTCGAATAATATTGACGAATCCTTTATCTATATTCGCAATTCAAAAGAAACACTGCTACGCGTGTGATATCAACGGAGTTAATATATTTCTTCAATCCAATTTTTAGTCTGCCATATAAATTTGCAAAATTCCACGCGACTGCTTCGGATCGAGTGTATTGCAAATTTCCGAATGTTCCCGTTGATTCGAACGGTTTGCGATTTTTCTCTGACAGCTTAATCTAACTCAGGGATATAAGCGCAAAGCTAAAGAAGTTGTAACGGCACGACTTGTCGAAGGGAAGTTCGAAAACGTGCGGATGCTCTCTTAACCAATGTAAAAGTGGGTCGAGGAGTGCCGAGTTTGATCGTCAGCGACCTCGGCGGATTACGCAGTCCTCGTCGCTACAAAGTTCGGACGTCCCTGATCTAAGTTAAGTCGTAGTCCAGTCACGAAAGGACCCCACACTGTCACTTTAAGCAGGTAGCTGCTCCGGTTAGGCGACAGTGGTTGGTGGGCATGAATCGTATGAACGTGTACAAAACACCTCCACCGATTAAATCAATTGGACGGCTGTCTGATATATTGGAACTTAAAGAGGTAATTGCGAGCGGCGTTGCTGCCACATATTGAGTTGAGTGTCGTCTGAGTGGAAGATTGGACTGTTTCAGCTGCGCGAGCTGACGATAGCATCGAGCGTGTGATCCAATTATGATGTAACGCATGTTCCATCGCAGGAACGATTGGCAGCGACGAGTGCCACTGTGAAAAAGGCTACCCCGTGTCGCGAGTCATTCGTTAGGGTTCAAACAGAAGCGACAGGGGTGGTCCGTTCGATCGGAAAATTACAAGACGCGCGTTAAAGTCGGCGATGTTAAATATTGAGCAAATATCCACGAACGCTGGTCTCCCATTTAATCTCGTATTATGAACTTAATAGAATGCAGCGTACATCCTTCACGATTATCTATTTTTAATCCCGCTTGAATCTTTTACCTCTTGGAATATTCAATTTTAATCTCTTTGGAAGTTTAATAATAAAACGCTAATTCGCAGATAAAATATTTATCCTTACACTTCCGCCATTACCTCCATAGATTCTTCTTCGTCTGATAATAAATTCACTACAACATTTTTAATATCCATCATACTCGGTTCCTGTTGTAAATCTCTCTTGTTTGAAATTAAACTAGCGTATCTAACATCTGAAGTGAGATACCTATCCTGTAGCGACGTCAGTCCCCCAGCCACTAGAAAGCATAATGTGCCGCTCCGGGGAAGACGTGGGGGAGGCGTGAAAAATCTCCGAGGCTACTGATACTCGATCGTTTGTCAAGAGCGACGCTTATCTGCGATCTTTCTCGAGATCGCATCGCGCAGACGAACGCATCTTAGGTATGACGATTGTCGCGTCGTGGAATGCTACGTAGCCCCTCGCAGAAGGTACACATAAGAAGAATCCTAATAAAAATCTGACACTCCGGTCCGCGCGCGGATACGGCCAAGCGCGTTTCAAAGGGAAGATAAGGTGACAGAGAGACACAAGGTAATACGATGCGCCACCGTTGAAATTGAATCCGGCTCTGAGATGAAAAATTACGATCGTTGCTAACACGTCCGGCGAATAATGAAGTCTGCTCTCGCGCCATTGTTCCGCGAGGGCATGTCGGCGCATAGCTGTGCGTTGAGCCGCGCCTTCCGACAGCCTCTGCCGCCTCTGCCTTCTCGCCGTTAGCGCGACGCTTCTAATTATTAATTTCGGCCTTTTAATATTAATTAGACCCGCGCGGCGCCGTACAAGCGTGCGCGCGCGCGCGCGCGCTTCGCGCCATAATAGAACGGCGTGATTACGCCGAGATTATAATTTTAATCGCTCGATTACCGCGCCGAAAGAGAGAGAGAGAGAGAGAGAGCATCGTCTCGCGTCTGACTCGCAAATGCGGTGGCGGCGGCGCAGCGCTCTTGTGTACGTTCCTCCGGCGCACGGTAATAATAGGTGCGATACCACTGAATATTCAGAGAGACGCGCGCCTATGCCGCGAAGACTCCGCGGTA